TAGGCTTGAATAACGTCGCAGTTATTTTGGGCCCTTATATGTAATTATTTAATTTGAGCCCGTATTTGTAATTATTTACACTTCCCCGGACCCTTATTTGTAAATTCCCTTTTCTTTTTTTTTCCATCATTTTTAACCGATCTCACCCAATTTCCCGGGATTATTCGATATGGCCAGCAGCAGCAACAAAAAAAAATCCGACCGCCCCAATTTTTCAGATCTCATGTTATGCAAAACGAAAAATTTACTTTGCATGGTTTACATATAGGAAGTGATCTTTCAAATCTATAACAATAAACCTTATGTGAATTCAGTCATATTAAGTCATGTACAACATATGGTTGCGCAAAGCATGGTTCAAAATGTGCGCCCATCTCTAGTACTACAATATATCTACATTCACTTCTCATATCCTAAAATGAGTTATTATTTTATTGTAATTATTGCTTTAGTTGGCTACGCTTTATACAAGTGTTATATTTATCCTTTATATTTGTCGCCATTACGTAAAATTCCTGGTCCACCTGTTGATAATTTTATTGTTGGACATTATGCCTCTTTTTTAAATAAAGAGCTAGGCGAAGCTCTTGCTTACTTAGCAAAACAATATGGTGGAGTAGTTCGGTACCATGTCTTATTTAATAAGCCCTATATATCGATTTCCGATCCAAAACTTGTCCAACTAGTACTGGTGAATCGCGCTTATGATTTTCCAAAGCAATTCCTCAATAGAACTATATAAAAAGAGTTTTTTGGTGATGGTATTTTATTCGCTGAAGGAGATTCTCATAAGCGACAAAGAAAAATGATGAATCCTTTATACACTTTTGCCAATATTAAGGTATTATTTTACGATCATCAATATTACAATCTTTTAAAATAGATTAATCCTTATAATTATTTCTTTTAAGGAAATGGTTCCAATCTTCGTTCAAGCTGGTCATAAATTAAAAGATATCTGGATGGTGCAAATCGGTAACAAGAAAGAGGAAAGAATTACGATCACTGCACTAATTCCAAAGACAACTTTAGACGTTATTGGTCTTGTTGGTATACATTAGTCTGTTTTCTTCTACACTTTAGATTTACTAATACATTCCTAATCGTCATAATTACATTATTTTAATAGGATTTAATTACGAATTTAATTCTACTACTTCAGAGTCTAAATTAGCTCAAGCATATAATTCTATAGTTAGTTGTAGTCCTTCGCCTTTATATATTGCTCTTGTTGACCTTTTTCCGTTCATTAGGAAATTACCAACTGCTTATAACAGCCAATATTATAATTCTATTAAAATTATCAATACTATTTCGGGAAGTTAGTTGCTGAACAAAAAAATTCTCCTGTTCATGGAAAAGATTTATTATCTTTGTTGGTAAAAGCAAATGAAAAATTGCCTGCCAATGAACAATTAACACATAATGAATTAGTTAATCAGGTAAAATTTTATTTAATTATTAAAAAATATATATAATTTTATTTAATTATTAAAACATATGCATAATTTTATTTATTAAAAAATATGTATATTTAAATTATAAATTATTAAATTTAAAGGTTATGACATTACTCGTAGCTGGACATGAAACAACGAGTGTTGCATTATCTTGGGCACTATACTTTCTCGCAAAACATCTTGATATTCAGGATCGTCTTCGTAAAGAAGTGCTAGATATATTTACTGATCGTAATTATTTTCCAGCTTTTGATGACATTGAACATGTGAAATTCTTAGATTGTGTCTTTAAAGAGACTTTAAGGGTCGTTCCACCTGGTATAATCCAATTTATTCGATTTATTTTATATTTCAATTTATTCGATTTATTTTATATTTCAATTTATTCGATTTATTTTATGTTTCAATTTATTCGATTTATTTATCTTATAAATTTGCTTAATTTATTTATTTCATTATCATTTAATGCTATTGTTGGCAATGGTAATTTTTCTTTCAAATTTGATTGATCAATTTCTC